AGTTGCTGAAAACGATTCTCTGCAGAATTACTCGAAAATAATTTTAAATTTTTTTCACGCATGAGCAGTGTAAAAGAACCACTTTAAATACTTATATCTTGCGCATGTTTTAGCAATTTTTTTTAAATTTCAAAACAATAGTCTTGTAATTAATGTCACATTTTCCAATGTTATTCTGATGAATATTTTTAAATTTGCAGCAAAAAACATTGAACAAAAAATTAGTTTTTTTTTTATGTAATAAGTGTCCATGCCTTCAAAAATATTTAAGCTATGTAGATTTATGAAATTTTTGCAGTTGTTTCAAATAACAAATTAATACAAGTTACATGATGTTGTTTGCTTGATTTTCTGGCATAGGGTGTTCAAAAATACTTGTTTATTTTCGTAATTTATTGTCAGTTCTTCAAACATCTTAAAGTTTTAAGCATTATTGCAAAGTAAAAAAAAATGCATGAACTAAAAACTTCCCAAAATTACAATTAATTCTCTGAGTTTCTCTTGAGAAATTTTAAAAAAAAGTTAAAAACTCATAGTATCTCTTCCATTATTGTACGGTAGTGTATATATATATATANGACTTTTATCAGTTCTTGGAGCAGTTTTCCGTTTGCGTCCACATTTTCCTTTTCTTTTTGGAGAGGATAAGCCGGAATCTTGAAATGTTCTAAGAATTCTGGAAACACTAGATTTCCCTACACCCACTGCTGTAACGATGTCTCTTACAGTCATAGAAGTGTGTTCATTAAGAGCGATAATTTTAGAGCGCTTCCTCGGACTAATATCCATCTTTTATAAGCATATAACTTGTGTTAGACTAAACTCAAAATTATAACCACCAGTTTCCCACACTGAAATGCTCACAACTGAACTACAAATACACTGAAACCAGTCAGACTAGTAAATCATAGTGAAGGTCTATCCGTCACCGCAGCTCAAGGCAGTATAACTGGTTTGAAGTGGTTCGGGACATCACTGGCAATCCCATACCAACTCGAATGAGAAAATCTTGCTTGTCCCAATTAATTCGAACACTATAGTACGTGATTCTGTTGACAACTTTTCTTCTCTGTGATTGTTCAGAGTTTATAACATTAATTTATAGCCCAGATCATGGATCTTACTACAGTACTCTCTCACAGTACTTACTACAGTACAGTATACTCTCGACATCTCGAACTTCGATATCTCGAAACCTTGTTATGTCAAAAAAATATTTTCCACCTTAGCATTATACATTCTCCTACTGTTAATTTGAATTCCTATGTCGAAAAGTTTCTTCTCAAAACCTTGTTACAGTGAATCTTTTTCGAAGTACAAAATGAATTTTGTCTGAATAATCATAATGTGAACCGATTCTTTTCTATTTGATGACTAATTTTTCTTGTCCTACTTAAAATTATCATTGCTTTATTTAGACTTATCATTACATATATATTTAACTATTTAATAGTATTTATTCCACTTTTTCATGACTCTTTTTTTAAGAGTAATATTTTAGAATATATTTTTTCTACTTTTTAGAACATATTTAGTTCTGAACTTGCTATCAAAAGTATATATTTTAATTTTTTATTTTATTTTATAACCGTCGTAGAATAGCCGATCCAATTTTAGCCTTGTAATTTTGAACCCAATCCAGAAGACAATGGAACTCCTGGATCAAGTATAGAGGAAAATTTGCCTTCGTTGAGGACTTTTTGATGGAACTAACCCGCATTTTCGTGACATGGAGAGGAAGACCACAAGAACCTCCAGCGGTTGGCCTGACGGTAAAGGGACTCTAACTCATGATCTGTCTACCACTCAGGATATTTCACGTCAGCATTGTGGTCGGTGCAAACCGGATGCAGATTCGTATCAACTAGCTATCGCAGGGATACGAACCCGGTACAACTTATTGGAGCGCTCTATCCCCTGAGCCATCGCGGCTCATCGAGAGTTTACTGTATAACAGTTTACTGTATTAAAGAGTATCGAGAGTTTACTGTAATAAAGGAGCCCTGGCGAAATAGAGCTACAAATCTCAAACGAAAAAAAAAATGCTTCAGAAGTAACTTTGAATTAAAGTGTGCATAGATATTGGACTTGAGAACTTAACTATAAAATTTTTAATGTAATTAAACGAAACTTTTAGCCATAAATTTAGCTGAATTTAATTTTAGAAAATTTACGATGGTGTTTCTCAATTTATGTTCAACGATTTAAAATGGAAAAGTATTTTAGAAAGGAGTTTTTCTAGTTAAAACTCATAGTAACTGAAACTTGATTGAGCTACTTTTAATTCAATCGTTAGTTTTTTAAGGATGGTATCATTTTTTAATTAAGCGCTTATATTTTCCGAAAGCCCATTATAAATGCGTAAATAGAAGTTATTATGCCTGTCATTGTTATTATGTACCCTTTTAGAAAACATAAATTGGATATGAATTTTGTTAGAAGTTAAAAGAAAAAAAAAAGAAAAGAAACAGTGAAATATTTTTAATTAAATGGAAAACGTTGGTTTTAGCGAAGGGCAGCACATTAAATTAAACAATGGACACAATTTTTCATTAAAATATTACATTTAAATAAAAAAAAACTAACTTAACTCAAAAACAAGCAAACTTATGAATTAAACATTAGTTTTCTTTGATACTTTTAAGTTTATTATAGCAAATATAAATATTAATTCTATTTAAGCAATACGCTTTTCATAAACCAACAGAAATATCCCATTTAAAGGGAAATAATAAGTCGAATAATAAAATTTTATGGCAATAAAACTTTTATTAAATTTAAAAAAAAGTATAAATTGATGAATATTTTTCAATAAACAAATTTATTATATAAAATATTTTGAGTTATGATTAATAAAATACAGATAGTAATTGAAATATGTTATTTGATAATTAATAAGAAAAAATGACTTAATAAAAAGTTCTTTTTTACAATATTCTACATTTAGATAAGATCATTCATAACATTTTTCATTGAATTACTATAATTTCATCAAATAAGTTACTTTAAGATTTTTAATGTTATTAATCTCTTGTAGAAAAAAGAGCTTAATTAAATATAATTCAAATCTAAATTTTTATCATTGTCTATACATTTTTCTTCAATAAATAAGCATTAAAATTTATGAATATTAAGGATGCTATAAATGATTCGTAGGAACATTTACTTAACCAGATTAATTTTTTTAATATTCTATGTCAAAATCAGATTATTCAAAGAATTTTTCTTTTGATCATAAATAAATTAAAATTTTAGTGTTTTTAATCTCTTGTAAAAAACCTACCTAATCAAGTTCAAGTTAAATTTTAATTTATATCATCCAATTTATTCTTTTCCATTTCATTTTTTTTCTTTTAATATTTATGCAAATCACTAATAATAATATAAGTGTACTTGAAAAAACAAAGTTAATATTAATAAGAAATTTTTCACAATTATCTAAGCAATTACTAGATTTAGTTACCGGTTAAGTTAATGGGGTGTTCGGAAATTTTCCTCCAAGTTTTAACATTCAGCGTTGTTGAAGATAAAACGTTCACAGCGAAAAAAGTTTGGCCAAAATATGATAAAATTTATCGTAAGTTTGGCCTTATATATGCACGAAAAGCTGGGTATTTTTCACCGAAGCGCTTTGGTAATGATTTTGGTAAAATTAGCAATAAAATATTGTTTTATGATAAGTAAAAAAATTTGGTAAATGAGGTAATATTTGGTAATTTATTATGATATTTTAAAGTATATCAGTAAAAAATTGTTTTAATTGTTATAAAGTATATCAGTTTTGTATTTCTATTAGTAGTGTGGTAATGAGAGCTATAATTTTCAAAACCAGAATTTTGCGTAATGGTTTAAATACCGTTTATTTTGGTTTCATTTAACTAGAATTACATATTTTATCAATATTATTATTACTATACAATACGGTAGTTTTACTATATTTCTTTCATTGTAGAAATAAAACAAAACAAATATTTTTTATAAACTAAATTAGAAACTATGTTTTTAAAATTTTGCATGTAAATTGTTAATTAATCACTCATAATGAAACACACATTCTACTCATAAAATGAAAACATGGTTAGAATCTCAAATTTGTTTCCCAAGAAGGTTACCTTTAGGGAGAATCTTTCTACATTTTGATAAAAATTGATGATACTTAACACAGAAACTATCTTTTTGTTGCCATGAAAGTTACCATTACGGAGAATCGCTAAATATTATAATAAAAATTAATAATAAAAAATTCAATTGGAAATCTTTATTTGTGCTCCATGAATGTTTTCTTAAAGGAGAATCCTCCAACATGTTTATGAAAATTTATTGTCTTTTTTCAGGGATAAAGTGCTAAATAGCTCAATTTTTGTTCCAATATTGAAAAAATTTCATCAAATGCTCATTATTTACAGCATTAAAGGTCTAACTTCTCTATTAAAAATAATTGTGGAATTTTTTAATTCATGGCATAAATAGTTTCTTAAACAAAATTTGAATTAAAAACGATGAAAAATATTAAATATTAGTTTAAATAAAATGAAATTTAAAAATCATAGTTAAATTTCTTGATATATTTCTTTATACATTTTATACCTTTAATGCATGTCAAACCACAGCTTTGATTTTTAGCTTCAAAAATTAGTTCTAACCGTTTTAAAAATATGATTAAAAAGCAAAGATTTTTGTACTAAAAAAATACTCGACTTCAGCCTGTCTTAGCATTTACAGCAGTTGCTTTAAATATAATAATTTTCAGTATGGTGATATTTCTTTCTTCAAAAAGTGCAACAAAGTAATTAAGTAATTTAAGTAAAGATAAAAAAATGTATAACATGGTATTGTTCGACTTTGCTTGATGAAAGGTATGAAAGAAGAAATGTTAAATAGAGTCGTAGAAGTTAATAACATTTAAAAAGTAGGATAAAACAGGCTTAAAAACCAGATTTTTCAAACCAGATCATCAATTTTTCAATTAAAAAATTGAATTCAATTCAATTTTTCCTTTCCTTTCTTAAAATAATGCCAAAAAACCAGCCTTAATTTCGAATATTGGGTTGAGTTATTTTACCCACAAAGTAGATAGAGCCATTAATGCATACCACACATTATAAATTTAACACTACATAAGACACAGAAATCTTACCTTAGAGATGCCCTAGAAAAAGAGACACAATTAATGAATGTAGCAAAAGGATATGGATTTGAGATAAGCCAAAGGCACCAGTTCCTGGGTCGAGTCGTTTGCTCTAGGCAGTACCAGGAAACGGGTACGTAAGTTGGATAGGGAAGATGAGCTCTGGGATCGAACTCGGAACTTCCACTCGCACTACAGCTACAGGTGGAGCTAGTTCCATCACACTCAGAAGCCACAGTAGAGCTGCAAGTCCTAGAAGAACCGCTTGTGGAACAGCTGTAAGCACTAGAGCCATGGCTACCATGGCCAGATGAATGGTCAGACAGGACAGATACCTTGTCCAAGTCATCCTCATCGGGCTCAATATCGGCCCTCCAGGATTGGTCAGGGCCTCCACAAACGGGGTTTCCAGTTACTGCCTTCTGCTCAACGAGTTCTGTCATGGCTCGTTGCGTGGCTGCTTTTTTTTAGAAGTCAGGGGTAAGCGAATGTTGTGGTTATTCACAATCTCTCTTATCATGGTTCGCATCATTTAAAAAAACTTATTTCACATCATTGTTTCACGAGTTGAAACTTGTCATATTATCAATTCGTGACAAACTCAAGATGTTTTATCCATACACATAAGCTCGGCTCAAACACAAAACTTGCAGCATAGCGTACCATTGGAAATATTAGCACTTAAGAAAATATAACTGGAGTTTTGATTATCCGGAATTTGTACATAATCCATAGCCATTTTTGGGGTGTTAAAACTAATATAATTTATTGCATTAATCAAGCAGAAGTTTTACGGAAGTATTTTTTTTTTCTTATTTCAAATTATAATTTGGAAAAGCAAAATGAAATGTATTTAAAAGTTAGATGAGAAAATTGTTTTCACATGTAATTCAGAAGAAATCGGCAAATGTAAAGTATTTCATATATTAACCATTAACAACTTAAATGTCTTTTTTGCGTTAGGTTGAAGATAATTTGCTATTCGAGAGGATAGCATTATGCTCATTCTATGGAACAGAATACATAAGTAGGCATTAAATTTCATTTCAATTTAAATTCTAATTTTTTTTATGCAATATATGAAACAAATAACTAAAATTTATTGCAAATGTGGCATGATTAAAACTGATATCACTAGAAACAATCTCGTTTAAATTTTTTGAACAGAGTCTTTTCATTTTTAATTAATTTTACTTCTGAAACAAAATTTTACTTTTCCAAATATTCTAATTTTTTAAATAGTTTCTAATAGACACAACATTCATTCCTAAATTTACTATAAAAAATTAAGTATTCAATATAAAACTAATAAATTATGAATTATAATTTATGTATTGATTGTTAAATCTCCGACTAAGGCTAAATTCGGTTTAAAGGAGTTAAAGGGTGATACGAAAAATTAATTATTTTTTTCCCTCGAGAACATATGATTAACTTCATAAAACTCACTTCCACCAGCGGCTCACATCTTTTAAACACATACAACAATTCATTCCATCACGAGGCAGTTTCATAGCCAAAAATTTCGCCAACAAATGTCTCAAAAATCAGATGCTGATTCGATCCCTAATCGAGATCAGATACAAAAATAATTTAGATAATTTTTATTTATTATTCTAGAAAGTGATGAGTCCGAAGAAGCACCTCGTATCGACTCCGACTGGATGAGAAGCAGATAGAGCTGCCGGACGAAATACGGGAAGCAGGGGTGAAGGGGGGTAGGAAGGGTGTAAAAGGGAACTGTTGCTCACTTTCAAGGCTAGGGCGCTTCCTGCGTTCGAAACTAAGAAGAAAAAGAGGTATCATTTGCTTTCAGAGAATGCTGCTGAGTGCATTTCATTAATTTTGCTCAAACAATGGAATGCATTCATAATTTGTAAGCCCCCGTTTTTCAAAACAAAAACTATTTTTTTCTGCAAGCTTCTCCCAGTTTTCCCGCTGCCGCCACTAGTTCGATTTTCTGAAAGACGAACGGAGCGCCCCGGCTCTCGCAAACTCTCGTGTTGATTCGCAGATGGACGAGATCACGCCCAGGTGAGCATCAGGAGGATAGGAGGATGGGGAGGTGCGCTGAAAGTATTGACTTACCTGGGATTCGGAGGAAGCGCAGAATTTGACGCCATTTGTACAAAGATTTGTACGCGATTTTTTATTGTAATTTAGAACCTCTTTATTTTACCCCTTTTTTACTTATTTTTATTGAGAAAAAAAAAACTCTCGAAACCTAAAAACGAAAAGTAATTATAAAAAATCAATTCTATGGAATCCTATAGAAATATATATCCCTTTTCTACTTTTATAATACAGAAACTGAGATATCAGAATTCGATAATTGAAAACCTTTACTATCATTGTCCACTTTCGTTTCAGGGCAGTGTCTTCTTATGATTAACGCGCTGCTTTTAATACATTGTACACATCCATGAAAATAATTATTTCACAAATCTTAAATTGCTTTTAATTACGCTTGATTCTTTATTTCTTTTTGAGTAACAATTAAATTGCAAACGAATGCTGTTTCATCGTAGAGTTAGTCTATGCTGAGCTCAAAACTTACACGGCATATTTTATTTTATTTTTGCTCTCATTGTATTAATACCTTTGAATTTATTTTTACTATTAAACTTTTCCGCTATGTTTGAGCTGTTTGTGGGTTTTGATCTCGATCAAGAACTGTTAACTTTTATGCTGTTTGCTGTTACGTATGTTTAGTACCATGTTTCAGCAAAAAAAAAAAATTTCTCAATCGATGCGTGATTGACTGTGTAGTTGTACCAGGGTTTCCTTTTGCGGAATCTGTCGGAACAATGTGCCTTCTATACCCATATTAGGGTGGGGCGAATAAAACTTTCAATATAATTTAGATAAATCAAATAAATGCTTCTGTAAAAAAGGTCGAGTGAGGTAAAAAATTCAATTGGATTCGAATGTGGATGTGCGCAAGGTAATAATATTATACAGGATAATTAAAAATTTGTAGTTAATAAGTTTCAATTTAAATTAAGAAATTTTAAAATTGATAATTTTAGATATATTAACGTTTAATGAAAAAAATATTTTTAAAAAATCTTTATTATATATTGGAAGATTTTTAGATACGTATTTGTCATTATTGGATTTGCACATGGTATAAATATAAAATGAATTAAAGATATTTTTAATAAATTTATTAATAATTATAAATTCTGTAGTGAATTATAAATTATTAAAAAATCATATTAAGTATGAATAATTTATTATAATAGTAGCATTTACTCAATTAAATTTTTTAATTATAACATACAATCAACTTGAAGATTTTATATAGAATATAATTTCATTAGTTAATATCCATTCTTTTTATCAAATTTTGAAAAAATTCGACTGTTTTTTTTTTCGATAAATAAACATTACTGCGACTTTATTCATTTCTACTTAATTGATTAAAAATGATGTCTACCTAAATGTTCCTAGAAGCATTAAAGTTCTAAGTAATTAGTTTATTTATATTAAATTTAATATTATTTCTCTTATAGTAAAAATCAACAATGCAGATTTTTTCTTCTTCTTTAATACCTAAATCCAAAAAATTAAAATTACTATTATCGCCATAATTACGAAGCAAGATTAATTCCTCGTAGTAAATATTTAACAAAATTTTATAGTTTTGAAAATTAAAGATGAAAAAATAGATCCTTACGACATGTTTTCCATTGTATAGTTAATTATTAAAAAAACAAATATTAATTAGAATTTCCAAATGATCAAAATTCTAAGTAGGAATATTTTTATAACTGTAGTAAGATTCCAAAAGAATATCTTTTAGGTTAGAAAGGGGTTATAGGTCATTGAAGAGATCCCGAATTGTCGTTCCTAAGAGCCGAAATCGAATTAATTTTATTTGGTTTTATATATTCTAAAATAGGTTGAGTATTAGTGATAATTCAAGCAAACCTTTTAGTATTCTTAAAAATGCTATTTAAGTAGTTATAGAAAATGTTGCCAGGTTAAGTTGGTTTAGGTAGACCCATAAGTGATTGTTCTAAATTCGATATAAATTTTATAAAATTTTGAACTGTTTTAGGAATGGAAAATTTTATATTATTAATTTTAATTCTTAGCATCTTATATAAAGCTAATTTTTAATGCTAATGTTATTTAAATTGCTAATTTTAAAATTTTTACTATTTTTTAATTCCTTTTTGAAAGTTCAGCATCGAATTTTTTACAGAAGATTGCATAATTATTGCAAGTTTTGTCTACAGGGGTGCAAAAAAAATTTAAAATTTTCTATAAAGATTTTCTACAAAAAAATTACAAAATTTTTGCTTAATTGATCGATTAACTTTAGAAACATTTGTTGTATTGTTACTGCTATTTAAATTTTCCTTATTGAAAAAAAGTTTTTAAAGTAATAAAAAATCCCATTTCCATTCTATTAGCATACGTAAAGGTAAAGAGAATCTATTTGATATCTTTAAACAAAAAATATTGAAATCATTAAGAAAGTATTTTAGAATATTAATAATTGATGTATGGTAAATGGGCCAGAATTTTGTGACGTTTAACATTAATTTTCTTAGTTCAAAGTTTTCTAGAACATTTCACTTACCAGTAATAATATGTTTATGATGTTTATCAATAAATTCAAAATGTCTTCCTCACAGTTACATTCATAATCGGATATATTAAAACAACATTATAATAAAAAAAAATTACTAATAAATTTATAATTAAAAATAGTCTTACCAAGAGACTTATTATATATATCAATTTTAATTATGTTAAAACCTTTTAATGGAAACAAATCTTTTTAATTTTCCAGAAATATTAGGAAATAATATGTAATACAAGTCTATAATATATAATAATATATAATATAAATAATATATAATAATGTATGTCAAAAATATTGTTTTGAAAGTTAATAACAAAATATAAGTTATCTAAATTTTTCTTCGCATTTCGCAAAATTTTACTCTTTTTTATTTTTTGCAAGATCGAAACAAAGAATTTTGATGTGTAAATTGGTAAAAGAATAGCTGTTAATAAGATCTTGACATATATATATATATATATATATATATCCATTGAATCTAATGCATATAGAAATACGAAGGTAATATTGTAACACTTGCGCGCATTAATTAAAACTTAAAATAAANTACAGATAGGAATGCAAAAAAATAGAAACTGTAGAGAGAAATGAAACAAAATAAACGAAAAAAAAAACAGAAATCCAACGTAAATAGATTTTTTTTAAATTTCTTTAAATGATTTAGTGGAAAATGTGGAACAATGATTTGATACAAAATTGTGAGTATTTAATAAAAGAAATGATGCAGAACGATATCTATGTATATATATATATATATATCATTAAGGGAGGAAACAAAATATTTAATTGGTTTAATATTGTAATGCTTATTAAAATCTTTTTTCTTATTAAAGACAAAATTTACATTTAATTTGTCACTGTTAAGAGAGTTTTTATTGCATCCTGATCACCGTTAAACACGATTTGTACGGTTATCTTTCATGTGAAAAAGTGAGTAAGTTGAGTAGTTATTAAAGTTAATCTCTGTATGTTGGAAGGTATCGTTAAGCCCATATGGCAGTATAAAATAAGCATGCAATAATTTTCTTTTTATAGTGTTAAATCAATATTTTCTACTATATCTAAAATATTAATTTTAACTATTCAAGTAACGTTTAACTATTCAACGTAATTTTCAAGTGAATCGCATTCGGCAAATTTCTAATCTGATTCTAATTTCTAGCTAAATCCTAATTGAATTTTAATTAGAATTGAATTTCTAATTGAATTGAATTTCTAATTGAATTTATAATTGAATTTACAATTGAATTGAATTTCTAATTAATCATGCAGTCTAAAATAGTTCAATTCTGAGTTATTGACAATTATATTACTGAACGATATTGATTATTTTTAAAATTAAGAGAATTACTAGTTTGCCAGCATATTTCATATTACAAAATAACATCATTAATTTTACAATCAAATTTAAAGCTATAGTTATTTTAAATTATATGTTTTTTGTCAATATTTTTGGGTAAGTTTCACATCTTTTATTACCACACTTTTTATAAGATGGGGAAAATTCTGGAATTGAATGAAATTCTAAAAATTCTTTGTTTTAGGAGTAGCAGGTCATCGATCTGAAGGTCCCCTCTGGGATGAGATTCCTCGTATCAAGTACAACATGTAGAATAATTAAAATGTTTAACATATTTTTACCAGGCACTAAATTAATATTTTTGTTTAAATCCATAAAAATAGGCTTAAAGAGCAACGACCCAAACACACGAAATTAGAGAAATAAGTTAAAAATATAAAGAAAACTAGGGAAAAATACAGAGATGTGTTTAAAAGAGAAGAAAAATTTATTAAAATATAATATTTTATAAAATTTTACATACATACATACATACATACATACATACATACATACATACATACATANTTACAGTTATATAACAGATATACAGGTATATAACTTTAAAAATTTTCAATAAAATTTAACAATGTTTTGCAAGATTTTTAAATTAAATTATAGACAAAAATATTGTTTTAAAATATGAGAACAAAATTTTTAAAATCTGCGCAAGATAAGAGTTTTTAAAGTAGTTCTATTCTGCGCATGGGCAGAAAAATGAAGCAAAAAAATTTTCGAAATTTTCAAGTGAATTGCATTCGGCCAATTTCTAATCTGATTCTAATTTCTAGTTAAATCCTAATTGAATTTGAATTAGAATTGAATTTATAATTGAATTTAATTTCTAATTGAATTTGAATTA